TCAGTGATTCTGAGGACAAGCAGCTTTTGGAAATCATGTCGACTTGTTCTTCAAAATGGATGTCTGTGCAATATTTTGAAAAACTAAAGGGCTGCATACAGAAAGCATTTCAAGATACACTTCCTCTGCTTGTAGAAAATGCTGACCCACAATGGGAAAAGGTATGTTCCTGAGAACGAGAGGAGGTACTGAACACCAAGAATGATTATAGAAGTTGTATGTAGTGTTTTTTCCTTTTTTCGTTTTAAAGTTTAGTAGATGTAAGTCTTATGTTTTTGTCAGTGGTTTAAAAAACTACTCTGTAGCGAATCCAAAGGTTTGCATGTTTTGTTGCCAAAAAACTTTACTACTTCATAGTGTCACAAATACAAGAAAGCTTTTAGCCTCTAAATGTCTTTTTCCTAAAGAATATTTAGGACAAATACCTAATGCCTGCAGGGCTTAAAACCTAGATAACAGGTTGATAGGTGCAGCAAACCACCATGGCACATGTATACCTATGTAATAAACCTGCACGTTCAGTACATGTATTCCAGAACTTAAAATAAAATAAAGAATATATGCTATTCTTTCTAAGGGCATGAAATTTCAGAAGCTGAATAATTTTTATTCAAAATTCTGTTTTCTGGGCCTGACCACTTCATGAAATATGCATCATAAGAGTTTCTTAAAAGCTTGTGAAGAGTTTGGAAGCCTATTTATTGCCCACAATAAATGTATGTCTCATTTAGGCAAAAAATGCCAACCAAGTACAAAGAATATTGATGTAGAGACAAGCAAATAAATATGGCTCACTCGCATAAAACTCTGAAGCCCAGTTTCTGGATGTACTATATATGTGCATATAGAATTAATTATATTCTTTTAGTTATCTAAGTACTCTCTGAGACCAGCTTTTAATTTGTATGAAAGATTCAGTGAAACCAAAGTCTTGCTACCTTATGATCAAAGCAATTAGGTATGCATGAAAGATCCAGAATGATATTCTGAGCATGGTGATTAGCCAATTTCAACATTTGGAATTAGAGGCAGGAAAAAAATGCCAGTAGTATAAGGTTTGTCTGATAGAGTTGAAACTTAAGAGTTAAGTTCCATCAAGATATTGTGATTAAAGAGTTTCAAGGCCAGGATTGAGCATTTGGTATTAACACCTACTTGAGAGAGTTATAAACTAGGAGTAATAATCTTGAGTTTCAGTTCCATATTCGATGATAACTAGGTTATTATATTGGGCAATCACATAGTTGCTCACTGGAAAAATAAAATACAAATCCCTGGCCTAATTCCTTGGGTTTGGGTAGGCTATGCATGGCTCAGCTTAGCCTTTCTGGGTCCTGCATTTGAAACAGTATAAAAGTTTAGAGCCAGAAGGGACCTGAAAGATCAGCTCACTCCATCCTACTTCACCCCAGTTGATATTTTTATCCTTGACCTCACAGAGATGTTGCTACTGAGTAGTTGCCTTCAATGTAAAAATTACTGGGCAAGATCACTTCCCACGAATACTGCTTAACACTTAATTGAGATTTTTTTTGGGGAAAATAATTAAAATAAGAACTTGGAGATAACTTAATTAAAATAAAATTATACAGATTTGGAGATGAGAAATGATGGGAAAATCATGTTTACATGCTTTCGTTTGCTTTCCTGAATAGGCAGTCTCTCTTACAAAAATCAAGAAACTATGACACCTTTCTCCTACCATTAATATATACGTATAAAATCAACCCTGGAGTCTTTTTACAGGGCTTATAATTGTGCAAGCAGTGTAAGATCATCTGTGTGATTTAATGAGGCTCGTGAGTCTATGGAGACAGAATCACATAATCTGGCTAAGAATTTAGATGTTTACAGCTTTTGTTGGGTGGGTCAGTTTCCATTCCTGAGAAAAGGATGGCTTTGAAATGCCTAATCTGGAATTTGTCATAGAAGTAATACTTGACCTTCTGCCGTTTTCGAGCTATCTTCACTCAGGACCTTGAGATAAAGCTGTGATTATAAAGCAGTGATTTTAAATTTGTTACATAGGTGCTGTAAATGTGAGGAACTGTAATTTATAATTTATTAAATCTCTAGTTTTAAAAATTGTTCATGGAAATTAAAACAAAAAAATGGTTTATTAATATATAAAAACAAGTCCTCATTAAAATAACTGAGACAATCAAAAGTTTTTTTAATGGAGAGGACGCAATGAGTGAAAAATACAGCTTTCAAGAAAATGAATGCCTTATCAAAATATATTAATGCGGTAGTTCATAACAGATAAAGCAAATATCAAATGGAACAAAATTTTCAAGCAAACTTAAGGATGTGTGTTGTCTCTTTTACCATCAAAGTCAAGTTAAAACTAAGACAAACAGGTTGCTGCTTTTCTCCCTTTTCTGTCATCTTGACTTTTCTTCCCCACCTTTGAGTAAAAACTGGAAGCACTGACTGCATTTTGGTTCAGCTTTTCTTATTCCTTTTGGTGTCAAACCCATAGCTTCTTGATTACCTCTTCTTTGTAATTGCTAACCTCTGCTTCTGTTGGACATTGTAAGTAGATTTTCTGACAGTCAGTTAAATGGTTTCTCATAATCAAAATCAAGGCTTCTAGAATCAGGCATATATAATCTGTTTTAAATAATCAACAAGACTACTTTCTCAGTACCACCTATTCTGTTCCTTTCTGATTTAGTAGTCATCTTAAATCTGAAAACATTGCCATAAAAATCCATTGATTTGACTGAGCGTGGCGGCTCACACAAGTAATCCCAGTACTTTGGGGGGCTGAGGTGGGCGGATCATGAGGGCTGAGGCAGGAGAATCACTTGAACCGGGAGGTGGAGGTTGAAGTAAGCCAAAATTGTGCCAATGCCCTTCAGCCTGGGCAACAGAGCAAGACTCTGTCTCAAAACAAAAACCAAAAATGAAAAATCCATTGATTTAATAGCTGTATTGCCGTGACAAGGACTGGAACATAAAAAACATTCAGTAAATATTAGTGAAGAAATGGTCTTGTGCAAGATGTTTAATTTAGCTAAACCTCGGTTTCTGTCCTTAACTTTGGCATTCGGCTGGCCTTCCTTACAAAATTACTGTGTATGTTAAAGTATTTAGAAGCATATGAAGTACTGTATAAATTTAAAATAAATTTTTGCTGTTATTTTCAATTCATGGGAGGCAGAGGGTTAGCATTATACTTGCTAATTAAGTTGTTCCTTGCTGTAGTAAAAATGTTCTAGATTTTAAAGAACAATTCTGATTTTATATTGTCTTTCATGTGGTTTAATCACGTAAACCATTAAAAAATCTCAAATTCACATATATAATGTGCAAACCATATCTTCTGTCTGTCTCATAGCCGCCTACCAGTCGCCTGTCAGACTGTTCTAATTTGGAAAGTTTCATAGGAGGCTAGTTCCTAGCACAGTGACAGTACTCATGTAACACCCTAAGAAAAATATTGGCGATAGATAGTTCAGGCAAGATTTTTTTCAGGAAGTGTTTTCTCTTTGTATTTTTAACATTAGCATTTTAAATATAAAATTGTATAAAGATTTTTACTAAGCATTAACTTTGAAGAAAATTTATTTCAGAGAAATATGGCCAAGCTCTCTAAGGATTCTGCCAGCCGGAGCACTGGCCAAGGAGTCCCTGGATCTGCTGCTGGACACCATGCTCAGCCCTTGGCCTTACAAGAAACAGAAGCAGAAGCTGGTAATTGGATTTTGTTCCCACCAGTCTTTGTAGCATCCATAATCACCCTTCTGAAGGGTTGCTTTGAGGATAAAAGGAGATCATAGATGTGAACAAATGTGTAATACTCCTCTGACTTAATGTCTCCTCTTCCTAGATTTCATTTTGTGTGTAGAGAAGAAGGTTGATTTAGGCCCTCTTCTTCTATTTGTGGTTTTCCCTCCATTCACAAGTGATTCGTGTTACAAGGAGAATCATGAGAGTTTTAATAGAGCAGTCATGTTTTTATTCCCTGAAATCAAGGATTTGACATAAGAGAATTGCCAAGTAATAGAGACTTTTTCATTCAAATTACTGAAACTAATTTCAATCACTTTTTAATGGAAATCTTTCTGAAATGTATTAGATGATTTTTAATTGATTTGTGAGTTTTTCTGAGGGCATGGGCAGTGTTTTTAATCTCTTCCTTTCCAACATATGGCAGAGTGATGAATTAATAGTTTAACTTTTCCTTAATGACTTAGACTCTTCATCATGACAAAAGAATTATTGTACTGTACTAAGCCCCTTGTATTCAGAGCTTACTGAGGAGTATAGGACTTATATTCCCTATTCATGGAGATTTCTGAGCTAGAAATTTGCAAATCCTTTATTAGCTCCCATCCCTTTTAGCCTATTGACCCTTTGCAGCCTGCTCCTTTCCTCCCCACACAAACACACAACAGCCTCTCTCTGCTACTTATTTGCTGTTTCCGTTATAACCTGGAAAAGAACTAATAATTGCCAGCACCAATCATACCTACTAAGTGAATAACCTCAGTTTCCACACATTTCTAATTCAGTAGGCAGTGTTACCAGAATCTTAGAGAATATCTGTCTATACCATCTCTGCCTTTCTCATTGTTCACAAACCCTTTTCCCCTACTTCTAGGTATTAAGTGGCTAAGAATATCTTATTGCCAATTCAGTGGATAATATTACCTTAATTTGTATTTTGCATTGTACTTTTTATTTTACATCCTATTTGGAATAGCCTGAGAATTCTATTTAAAGCTGTGAAATGGGTAGAAACAAGTTTTGGATGTTATTTAGCTTTAGGAAGTCCTATAAATATAAAAGGAATTAGTTTTGGCCAAAGACAAATCAGACTATAAAAATATTTTTCTTTAGTCTTTTTTCCCTTAAAAACAAACACTTTAACAAATTCATTAGAAAGGATTAGATAATACAAAACATGTATTAAGTGATAAAGTCCTTTAAAATCCTACCACTGGAGAGTACCACTGTTGACTGTTTGGTTATATTCTCCTAATATCTCGTTATTATTTAAAGTACTTAAAACATTAATTATGAAATACTTAGTTCATTCAAAGAATATATGTATGCATCTGTAAGTTATGAAACCTAGCAACCAGGAACCCATTATTCAACTTAAGGCACAGAACCTCACCAATGCTGTTGACCACAGTTCTATCCCTGCAACTTCTCCCCAGTCTGAGCTAACAAATATCCTGATTTTCAAAAATTATTCTCTTTTTTAATGTTTTAATTATGTGTATGTGACCTCTAGAAGTTGTTGCCTTTTTCTGTTTTAACATTATAAAAATGGTTTAATACTCATTATATTCTTTGTAACTTGCTCTTTTTCCTATTTAACAGCATGCTACTAAGATTTATCTGTTGATGCAATAGCTCTAATTCATTCATTTTCATTGCTACATAGTATTTCAATGTATGAATATACTATAACTGATGTATCTGTTCTGTCGTCAGTGGTATTTGTGAGTTCCAATTTTACAACAGTATCCTAGACGAAAAATATAAATGCTATTTATTGTACCATTGTGATGCTTCGTTAATCCTTTAATGCTCATTAACATAAATGGCACCTCTTAAACTAAAATGTCAGGAGAGAGCTAAGAATAATTTTGCTGGATCGATGACTTTACAGGAGCATTTTATATATTGGCCTCTGAGCCTGTGCCAACTTATATTCCTGTTCTATTGTATCACTTACATTAATAGTCTACTTTTTAATCATTTTTGCATAGTTTAATTTTATAAATTTTATATGTTACTAACGACAATGACTATTATTTATTGCGTACTTGCTCTGTGCCAGCTACTGTGCCAAACGGTTCATTTTTTAAACTCGGAAATAATTTCAAACTTATAGAAAAATAGCAAAAATAAAAATAGTTGCGAAGAACATTCACATTCCCTTTAATGAGATACACCTATTGTTAACATTTTACTTCATTCTGTGCCCTTATGTATATATGTGTATGTGAATATTTTTTTTTTTATGAACCATTTGAGGGTAAGTTATGTATACTTTGTGACCTTTTATGTCTAAGTACTCCAGACTGTGTTTTCCAGGAATAGGAATATTTTCTTGTATAACCTTAGTGCAGTAAATTTAACATTAAAGTATTGTATTAATCCACTGTTTGTGTTCTAATTTTGTCAATTGACCCAATAATGTCTTCTAGCATTTTGTTTTTTCTCCTCCAGTATAGAGATTTGTCTAGGATCAGCTATTACATTTAGTTGTCATGTATCTTTAGCCTCCTTTAATCTAGAACATTTCCACAGCCTCTCTTTGTCTTTCATGACATTGACATTTTTTAGAAATATTCTCTGCTTCCACCTCCACTTTTTTTTTTAACAGAACTTTTCTCATTTGGGGTTTGTCTGGTGTTTCTTCATGATTGATTCAGGTTGTGTTTTCTCGGCTAGAGCACTGCAAGGGTGATATGTTGTCACATCTAAAAATGTGTGGTGTCCCTATGTCTTTTATTGGTGAGGTTACTTTTCATTACCTGGTGATAATGTTGTCTAATTTCTTCACTATGTAATTACTGGGTTTTTTTTCACCCTTGCAACTGTTAAGCAATCTGTGGGAGACACTTTTAAGATCATGCAAATATCTTCCCCTCATAAAAACCTTCTCTTATATTTGGCAACCAATGATGATTCTTGCTTGATCCAGTCTTTACTATGGTGGTTGTGAAATTACAATTCTTCCAACTTCCTCCCTCTATTTATCCCAGTTGGCACTAAGCATGTTGAATCAAGAATCCTTTCCTCTCATTTGCCTGTGTATTTATTTTATCTCTCTGTCCATCGATCCATCTACCTACCTACTTACCAACCCACCTACCTACCTACCATTCATAAAATTATTGGTGTGACTCATAAATTCCTATTCTTAATACTTTATAATTCATTACTCTATTTAATTAGTGCTCAGATTGTCCCAGATTCAGCTAGTGGAGCTCCTTCAAACTGGCTCCTATGTCCTTGCGACATGCCTGTATTTTTGAGTACTTTCTTCCTTTCTGGCATAGGAAGATATTTCAGTCTTATTTTTATATACCCTCTCCCAGTACTGGAGTCAGCCATTTCTTGAAGATCCTTGACTCCTTTTAGTAGGGAATGGTATCAAGATCCAGAGCAATAGATTTCATGACTATTTTTAAAGTAGATGGTAGTATCCAGTAGTACCTTAGACAAGTTGAGTAATATGCTCCAAGTCACACGGCCAGTAAGCAGTATGTAAACCCATGTCTCTCTATCTTAAGCATCACACTCTTTCAGTCGTGCTGTAGCCTTTAGTCATGAGTCATCTGCTTTTCTTTCCGTCTTTTCTTTTTTATTGGTAGTTCTTAGTCTAAACTGATATAAAAGTTTTCTGTCATTTAATTTTTGCAGATAAGAAAAAGATCCTTGAAATTAAGGATTTATGCTGTGGACACTGCTTCCAAGAACTTGAAAAGGCAAAGCAGGAATGTCAAGATCTGAAAGGAAAACTGGAGAAATGCTGTAGGCATCTTCAGCATTTAGAAAGGAAGCACAAAGCTGTAGTGGAAAAAATTGGAGGTCAGCATTTAAAGTAGCACTGCTACCAATATAAATCTCTTTGATCCTTGTTGAAATGTTCAAATGTGACATTTTAGTTAATGTGTGCACTGATCCTCTTTTGGGATTAATGTAAACTAATTTGGATCTCATTTTTACTAATCAAATTATTATTACAAAACTCAAAAGAGGAAGATTTCAGCTCTGATTAAAAGGTCACATTCCTTTCTCCCTTTCTTGATTGAACAGATGTTGAGGGCCCAGTATGCGTCAAGCAGGCTTCTAAGCACTGGGGATGCAGCAGTGAATAAATCATACAAAATTCCAGTTCTGGTGGAGATGTGTTCCCTTCCTTCAAGAAGCTTTTGGTTAAGTGAGGAGATCTAAAAACAGATTAACAAATAATTAAACATTGAATGCTGTTGGCAGTGTGTACTTAAGAGGAAGGATTGTTAGTTCTACCTCTTATTAAAGTTAAGAAAGGTTTGACTAAGCCTTGAAAAACAGAGGTGTTTGCCAAGGAGAACAGCGTTTGAGAAAGAGGGAAAAGGCATAAACAAGGGCTTGAGGGTCTGGACTGGCCTCCGTCTAGTCCATTCATCATAATGCTGTGAGGGCATTTGGAAAGGGATATCTTCTACCATTTCTCATTGCCCCTCCGAAGAAAGGAAGTTTTGGGGCTTAGATCGCTGCTCCTTCTTACCTTTCACTATTGCTTATAGCCTATACGCTATACTCTTTACATTTGAAATGCTTCCGATTCCTGAGCTGGTCCTATTTCTTTTACTGCTGGACCTTCGTTGCATATGATGTTTGTATTCTGTCCTGTACTTTTTCCCAACATTCTTTGTAGTCTTACTCTCTTCCTTTAGGATTCAACTCAGAAGATGCTTTATCTGCAAAGCCCTCCTTGATTTTCCCTAGTCAGGGTGAAGTGGGCTGCTCGTATGCGGCCATAGAGCATTGGCTCTTCCTCTATTATCACTATTATCATTCTGTATTTTTAATTATTTGGTCACTTGTCGGATACCTTCTCCACATTCTCCAAGAATTTTCTGAGGAGAAGGAATATGCCATGTCTTGTTCATCCTAATAGCCCTGGTGCCCACCACATACCAGATAATAAATGTTTAAATGGACAAAAAACAAAATGCTACGGTCCTAAATAATGGTGTCATTCAGAAAAGACCAGCTTAATAAGTTTATTTTGTACATCCACTTCTTTCTCTTGCCTGGACCCTGGCAATAATCCCCTGACTCTTTATGCTTCTAGTCTTAGCCCCTCTAATCCATTCTGCCTGGGGTAGCTGAAGCAACCTTTTTAAAAAGTGAATTGAAACATGACACTCCTGTTTAAAGCTCTTCAGTGGCTTGCCATGGCCTTCAGTATAAAACCAAAACCACTTAGTTTAACAGGGTTTAAAAAGATCTTGATCCAGCGCCTGCCAGCCTCTCCAGCCTTGTCTTCCCCTAGCTCTCTTAATTTCTCTCAGTAGAGCCATAGCATGGATTTCATTGTTTTCTCCCTTCGCCAAAACATCCTGATCTCATTTGGCCGGCTAACCCCTACTCATCTTTTCTCCAATACATTACTTCCTCAGGGAGACTTTCCTAACCACTGCAGACCTGTTTAGTCCTCCTGTTACACATTCCTCATAGTTCCTATGCTTTTTATAACATTCACCATCCTTGTAATTATTTGCTGTCTGTACTTCCCTTTGGAGAGTAGACTTTATAGCAATAAGGATCAAGTCCTGTTCCAGCACTTGGCACAACAGCTGCATCATAGCACAACTTGGAAAATATTGCTGACTAAGAGAAGCCACCTGTAACTACCACCAACTGCTTATTACTAAGGCACTTATTACTCTTATTACTTATTATTAAGATATAATAATTACTTGGAGGCCGGAAAGGGTTTTAAGAATTTGAGATTAAAAATTTAACAACTGCAATTCCTTTTGTGATTACTTAGCTCTTCAGTAGAGGCCAGGAGAGTAAATCAGTTATTTGTCCTACTGTAGCTATATCTACAACATAGATATGTTAAAATATGAAAACCAAGACAATTTGGTTTACATAATATGGCAACAAGGGCAGTTGGATATGATTATTATTTATAAATAATATTTAGCACCACACTATTCTACACAGTGCTTTTTGAAGCTGATATCTTCTAAAACTCATAGACTTGCAAATCAAAGAAAGTTGATATATCACTCAAAACAATGAGTTGATACAAAGGGTCAGGGCCAGAATTTAAGCCAATAGTCTGAAATTTTTTCTTAATATAACTTTAGTAGCTTATTATATCTTTGCTATTGAGATTGCTTGTTTCTTAAATTCCATTTTTCCACTCTCTTGGTAGTGTTTATTGAGAAATAGATGGAGTGGGAGTGAGTTGTTTAAAACAAAAAGTTATATCCATCACCAGGGGGAATAGAGTAATTTTGTTCCTCAACTTACGGTGTGTTGAGAGGGTGGCATCATAGGAAACACAAGATGCCATGTTCACATTTATATGGGTATTTCCAAGCTTTGTGTAGGTGTTGTGCATTTGTTGTTTTATTTCGATTATAATCTGTAAGTTAACATGTGAAGAAAGGTTCAGAAAGGTTACTTTTTCCTAGGCTTATCCACCTTGTAAACAGCAGTTAGAATGTAAACTGATGTCTCTGACTCTGAAATTCATGCGTTTTCCTTCATATCACATGGATTCTGTCAGTCTCCTCATCCTCTTTTTAAAAGTTCAAAGAATTGAAAATCTTACATTATTTCTGAAAAATACACCTACTTTAGGTTAATTTTCTTTTTATTTTATATTGAGGTACATGTTCAGTGTTCGTTTATATGAGCATAAACTGTCTACCAGGATCCACAGGGAACATGGAATTAGAAAACCTAGTAGGTTTCTACAGAGCCTCAGCACAGTTGGAAAACAAAACACAGGCATCTGAAACAGTCGAAACCCAATTCCAGGACAGTGTGTAACCCCAAGCAAGAAGAAGATGGGATACAGATTTTAAGTGCTGAGAAAACAGAGCAAGATAATGGTCTGACTAGGGTTTCTAAGGGAACGAACATTACAGAAGAGTGACTGGAAATTACACAGTCTCCTCTATAAACATTTGTATTGGGAACTTAAGGGAAAAGAAGGCTTAAAAAATTTTTAACTGTCTAATGTACTATAAACTTTCTATTATAGAAGAGAATAATAAAGTTATTGAAGAATTAATAGAAGAAAACAATGACATGAAGAATAAATTGGAAGAACTGCGAACGCTTTGTAAAACACCACCAAGGTATGCTTTTACTATTTTAAACTGCTATTTTAAAGAAATCTAAGTACAAATATCTTTAAATTTTTTTAAGTATCAATTTTTTTTTGTTATACAGCAAAAAGTATAAAAAAGAAGAAAATCCCCCAAAACCTTATTTCCTGAAGATACCCTTTAGTGACCTCTTGTTTTATATCATTTAAACCTCTTTCTACACATACTCCACGTGCACAATGTGTTTTTAAAATTGAGACTCTAGTATAAGGTATTTTGTAGCTTTTTATTAATATTACTAGATAAGCATTTCTCTGTGTTATTAGATATTCTCCTACATATGTTTTTCAATACCTGCATAAATTTTCATGTGGATTTACCATTATTTATTGAAGCAACCATAACATTTGTGTCGTTTCCATTTTTCCCCTGTTTGAAATAACTGTATAATGGACATTCTTTTATGTGAGATTTTTAGCACTTCTCAGTTAATTTTATTAGAGTATATGGATACATATATATTTTTCAAATGAAATTTTTCACTTAGCATTTCTGTTTTTGTAATCTTTGGTTTGTTTTTTAGGTCATTGTCAGCAGGGGCCATTGAAAATACTTGCCTGCCATGCAGTGGGGGAGCCTTGGAAGAACTTCGTGGGCAGTACATTAAAGCTGTAAAAAAAATTAAACGTAAGTCCCTAAGAGATTCCCAAGATTTTAAGGATGGCTTGGGCCTTTTTTATTGTCGCTGTTAAAGGAAACTCAGAGTTTACCAGCAGTAGGACTTTTAGGGAATTTTCCAAATTACCTTTTTCTTCAATCTTAGAAGAGATTATTGACACCTTTTCAAAATTATGTAGTCATTGATCATTTTGCCCAAATAATATCTTTTGGAAGTGACATGAGAATAGTCTTATGTTTATATTGTTGATTGTCTTGTTTCTTTTTGGATACTAGTATTAAACTGAAAATTTAATAATCTTACAACTTAACTAATTTGTAGTAAAGAAAATGTCACATGGGTTTTAAATGAGCAATTAACTATTACTTCTACCATAAACTTTTTTTTTTGTTTGTTTGTTTTTTGTTGAGACAGAATCTCACTCTGGCTCCCAGGCTTGAGTGCACTGGTGCAATCTTGGCTCACTGCAACCTCCGCCTCCCGGGTTCAAGTGGTTCTCTGGCCTCAGCCTCCTGAGTAGGCTTGGGATTACAGACGTGTGTCACCACGCCTAGCTAATTTTTATATTTTTAGTAGAGACGAGGTTTCACCATGTTGGCCAGGCTAGACTCGAACTCCTGACTTCAGGTGATCCACCCGCCTTGGCCTCCCAAAGTGCTGGGATTATGGGTGTGAGCCACTGCACCCGGCCTCCTACCATAAACTTTTAAGGACTTGGAAGTGGATCTAGTTAGCAATTGTTCTGTTGTTTCTGGTTATTGTTTCTCATAGCTATAAATTTATCAAGTCCTTGTCAGTACCAGGTTGTGCCAGCATATCCTGTAGAGCATTCTCCTGATGTGTGTTTTCCGTTTTGAATACTTCTTGGTTTTTAATTACAAAATTGCATAGAATGGATATATGTCCCAAAACAATAAGTAGTGTTTATATAGGAAAAATGTATATTAGCCTCTAAAATTACATTTCTTTTTAACAAAAAGAGCAGGAAAAGTCTGAAGTTTCATATATAATCGGTAGATGCAGAATGACATGTAAATGTTCTGCAAAGCTCATTCGGTATTAATAAGGGCATTTGCTTCTCTGTTGTTACTGGTGCTAACAAAGGGCATATTGCTACAAGCAAAGCAACTTTTTGTTAATAATGTATTGATTGGGCAGCGGAATTTTAAGCATGTTTTCATCCTAACATGATAACCTGTATATATGTGTGTATATTATGTCTTAGTTATTTTTTAGAAAGTTGGTTGGAGGTTTTGTGTTGACACGTACTCCATTTCGTTTTCCATTTCAAATAATGAAAAATAGTCTCCCAGTTAGTATTGTTGCATAGAACCACTAATTTTCAGATGCTTACTGACACTGAGAGGGAGATTTCTGTACGAATTGGTATCCTTACTATAACAGAGATGGTGAAATTCTAGATGTAGGATGTAGTCTTGGATTTATTTAAAAAAAAAAGTTAGCCTTAGCTAATAGTAGTCCTAATCAAAGCTATAGTGAGTTAAAAAACAAAAACAAAAACAAAAACAAACACTTGAAAGCTGTGGGCTATGTTCATATGTAAATTTCAGAGGCCAACTGTAAGTCCCATCACCCTCCTTGTAGTCTCATTTTGTACATGTCTCTTATGAATTGTACTATTATATTTAGTTAGATGCTCAAAAAGTGCTGCCGCAAGAATTTTCAATAAATAAGGGAACTTAAATTTTCAGAGCACAAGAGAAGAATGAGTCTCTCCAGCTCATACTGCCTCCTTTTCTTCTGTCTTTGTGTTTGGTTTTTCCTTTCTTTCTGCTTAATCTTTTCTCTATATTTTATATTTCTCTTTTCCTAACTGAACATAATGTACAATTGAAATGCTAAGTTTCTGTGCCTCATATTTACGGTATTTTCTTCGCGAAGTGTTTTAGAATATGACAAAGTTTAGCTGGGGAATATGCCATGTTTCCTTACTGTATGTAGCTGTCATCATTCCGAAAGAACTTACAGAGTACTTCTCATTTGAATCTATCAAAATGATGATCTAAAATATTCCATTTTAATGACTGTGTAAAGTATAATGTTTAAACTATACTTATAATCACTTCATCTACCAGAAAATTGATCTGAAGTCTGCCCCTCCTGTTTCTGAAAAAGTGCTAATAAACATACATTCTGTGGGCATTTTCTCACTGCCCTATAGGTGACATGCTTCGTTATATTCAGGAGAGTAAGGAACGAGCTGCAGAAATGGTAAAAGCAGAGGTACTGCGAGAACGTCAAGAAACCGCCCGAAAGATGCGCAAATATTATTTGATTTGCCTCCAACAGATTTTGCAGGATGATGGAAAAGAAGGGTGAGTTCAGTCTGAACAATGTGTCCTGAGATTACCAGGACAACATGTTGTAATTTTTAAAGCATTTTCCTTAACCACTAAATGAACTATTTCTATATGATTAGCCATAGGGGTTAAGAGAGGTTTATGGCTGTGCTACCTGAAATGTTGGCAGAGCCAATAGGAAAACAGAAACCATGGGGCTAAGGCAAATCATTTTTTCCTTTAAACTATATTTTTAATGTTCTGGAATTCCCCACAGGGCTGAGAAAAAGATTATGAATGCTGCTAGCAAACTTGCTACAATGGCAAAATTGCTGGAAACACCTATTTCTAGTAAGTCCGAGAGCAAAACTACACAGTCAGGTATGTCGAAGTGAGTCACCAAATGGTTTTTCTATCTCTTCTTTTTTAGCTATTTAATATTTTCAGTATGAAAAAGGCAGGGAAGGTAAGGAGTGAGAGTTTATTTATGAAGTTGTGTATGTTTTAGTTAAACTGGAAGTTTACACAAAAAGAGTGCACAGTTTCCAATTCAAGTAGGCAAACTGAGCAGGCCCATCAGCTTCCTATTGCTGTTTCCATCCCTCAAAATGATAGAAGAGATTTTCAACAGCAAATAAAGAATGAGAAAAATAAGAAATTATAAGTAGGTTTTAAAAAGTTGCAATGGGCCAGTCATGATGGCTCATACCTGTAATCCCAGCACTTTGGGAGGCTGAGGTGGGAGGATCCCTTGATCCCAGGAATTTGAGGTTGCAGTGAGCTATGATTGTGCCACTTTCCTCCCGCTTGGGTGACAGAGTGAGGCCCTGTCTCAAAAAAAAAAAAAAAAAAGAAGTTGTTGTGGATAGATCAGAAGCTACAAGAAATCCCTGAGAGAAAGAAGACAGTATGGGATGGAAGATGGAAACCTCAGTTCAAAACCACCAGGAGGTGACAACTGCAAGTAGGAGCAATATCAAAACTGTTCCACATATGAGGGTGATATTTTCCAGGAGAAATAGAGGGCCTAGAGGATATGAATGGGGTAATTAGTTGGTGTTCTAAACCAACAGCAACCAGGTAGGGTTAATCCTCTCTTTATTTCTTCTTCTCCCCTCCCTTCCCGAACCTCAATATTGAGCTGGGCAATAACAACAGGAACAAAGAATCTGGGAGCAGGGCAGTGTTCCAGGTGGCTAGCCATAGTAAGCAGGAAATGGGAGCCCACATGCCTTGGGAGGCTGAGATGGGAGGATCACTTGAGCCTGGGAGATCAAGGCTGCAGTGAGCTGTGATTGCACCACTGCACTCCAGCCTAGGAAACAGAGCAGACCCTGTCTTTAAAAAAAAAAAAAAAAAATAAGAGTAACCAACAAAGACATAGAACATATAACTTTAAAACTGGTAAAGGAAAAGCTTGGAAAAAACCATTTTCAATCTAACAAAATCAGGAAAGAGGAAAAAACCTAGAAAGCATGGGTAAGTAGGTCATAATAGTAGTTTGAAACATCAACAATCACACTAAATATAAATAGGTTAAACTCAGTTATTAAAAGACCACAACTTTCAAATAGGGTTTTTAAAAATACGGAAATCTGCTATTTTTACAAGAAGAACATCTAAAATTAAAAATCAGGGGATGGAGAATGATATACCAAGCAAATGCAGTGTTGATATTAGATAAATTATAGAGGTAAATAAAAGATCAGATAAATTAGAGTTAGCATTAAAAGGGACAAAGGTGATAGTTCATAATGATAATGGAATAGTCTCCCAAGAAACTATAATTTTTTTCTTTCTATAGATAACACAGCTTTATATAAAGCAAGAGCTGATAGAAATACATGAAAAAAACTGGTAAATTCCCAATCACACTGGGAGATTTTTAACATATCAGTGGGGAAATGGGGTTTTTGAACCTCTGGAAAACTTGAAGCTGAGATTGTTCAGGGGTCTGTGAGTCTGATGTTGGTAAACATTCCTCATGTAGAAGCCAAAGATTATTGGTATAAATTTTGGAATGGTGATGTGAATCCTAGGTATGAAAAGGCAGTAGCATATAACAAGAAAATAATTTTCTAGATCTGGGGCAGCAGTGTGCACACAATGTCCCCAGTAGAGAAGCAAATCCTTTTCATGGACTCTAGGGACCAGGGCTTGCTTCTCTGAGGTACAATGCCTCTAATTTCATGCTATGTGGCTGCTTTGTCTTTGATCAGATTTAGTGTCTTAGGTAATTAAATCAGAAAGTCTATTTAGCTATTCTAGAAGTGTATGTGTAGGTATTGGGTGGGTGGGGTTCTTTGAGCAAACTTGTCAGAAACTCCATTCTTGACATCAGAATCAGGGCAGGATTGAAAACATTGTGGCTAGATCTTGAAATGCTATAGCATCTATTGCAGAAAATGATAGGTCAGATGGATGGCAATAATAATAATATATCAGATTTTAGTAACAAAATTACCAAGCTTTATCTAGTGGATATATGTAAAAGAATATTTTTTAATGTCCAGCATTGATGTATTTTCTTTAAGAATGATTACAGATTATAAGCATTCTTTGGGAATACAATATAAAAACATAAATTTTTTCTTATTTTTAATTTTTTTTTATTTTTTGGTTCAAGGATGAATCTTCCCTTTAAATATTAATTTTCTCTTAATTTCGTGTTTCCTTGCACTGCCCCTAACTTCAGAGATGCTGATTGGAGTTGAAAAATCAAAAAGAAATGATGTGAATCAGAAAATACCATGTTGTATTGAAAGCAAATCAAATAGTGTAAACACCATCACCAGAAGTGTGTGTGAACAAGCTCCCAAGAGGAGGGCAGCTTGTAACTTACAAAGACTGTTAGAGAACTCAGACCATCGGAGCATAAAGCATGTGGGATCCAAAGAGACACATTTGGAATTCCAGTTTGGGGATGGTAGTTGCAAGCACCTACACAGTTTGCCAAGGAATGTTTCTCCTGAGTTTGTTCCTTGCGAAGGTGAAGGAGGCTTTGGTTTGCACAAGAAGAAAGCCTTACTCAGTGATAATGGTTCTGAATCACTTCCGCATTCAGCTGCGTACCCCTTTCTTGGAATCTTAGGAAATAAACCCTCACCTAGATGTACCCCTAGTCCTTCTGAATCAGGATGCATGCATATAACCTTTCGCGATTCTAATGAAAGACTTGGTTTAAAAGTATATAAATGCAATCCACTCATGGAAAGTGAAAATGCTGCATCTAAGAAAAGTCAAGGTTTGGATGTTCAGGAACCTCCAGTAAAAGATGGAGGGGACCTTAGTGACTGCTTGGGCTGGCCTTCCAGCAGTGCAACCTTATCCTTTGAGAGTCGTGAAGCATCATTTGTACATGGTAGACCACAAGGAACTTTGGAAATACCAAATGAATCTGTTAATTCCAAACAGTTTTCACCATCCGGTTATCTTTCAGACACAGAGACAAGTAATATGATTTGTCAAACAATGAAATGTCAGCATGATCAAACTCCATACCTGTCAGAAGAAACCATGTATTTGGAGCCAGGAAAGATCAGTGTGACTCGTGGACACCCATCTCATCATAAGGCTGATAGATTAAAGTCAGATTTCAAAAAACTGAGCAGTACATTACCATCTTCAGTGTGTCAGCAGCCTTCAAGAAAATTAATTGTTCCACTATCTAGCCAACAAGATAGTGGCTTTGATAGCCCATTTGTTAATCTAGACTGATTATGGTACAGTATTTAAGAAGAATCATTAATATATTAAGAAAAATGGAAGGGAAGACCTCATACTGAAAAAAGTGGTGAGCCCTGCCTCTTTTGAGATGTTTTCATAACATCTGTTATACGAGTAAAGCATTCTCCTAAAATTACTTGAGATATTTATATTGCCTTAATATTCCAAAGGCCTGATGGTGTATGTATAATCTGCTTTTGTGTGGTGCTTACTTTTGGTTGCTAAACCATCTATTTTTATACTTGTAAATTGACTCACTCTGCAGTGTTAACTTATTTAAATAAACTTGCATATGGTTCATAGAATTGTTATGAATTATTTTGTGGTTCAGAATACAGAAATATCATATTGGCATCATGTTGGAAATTCACCCAGAAAAAAACACAAATTTTGATTATTTGTATGTATTAGTCAGATTTGGTTTTTGAAATTAGTCATGTTTAATGAGGCTATAAACTTAATCTACATCGACTTTTCCTAGAAATATCTACTCAAAATTTTGATCTTTGTTTTCAGTTAGAGAAAAGAGTTTTTCCAAGGTTTACTACAAAATACATGGCTGTGTCCTGGTTTTATTCTTTAAATATTAGTGTAAATTTTTTAGTTCTTGCATTATTTCAGATCACCGGTGACATCCAAAAACTTTGTCTCTTTTATGGCTTCACATTTGTTTTTTCATCTGAAATATGACCTTTTGAAAGATGGAGATAAGTTTTGTCATTTAGCAAAAAATGTAAAACGATTAGATTTTTACATTCATTTATAGTGCTGAACTGGCTAATTAATGCTCTAGGTTAAAGGTTATAATTCTGAACTGAAGAATACCTGCAGGAATGAATGACTACCTAAATATCATTGTTTTTAGGTGAATTCTTTTTCAGATCCCTAGCGATGGGTATGAACATTTAGCTGTATGCAAGTGCTTCAGAGAACAGTTAACTATAAGTTTCTCTTACATATCCCACACCTACCATATTATGGATTGTATTTGGGGGTTAATGTAGTGTATTTTTCCACCCAGAGCCAGATAACTTAGGTGGTGATTAGGAGATGGCAAGATGCATCCTCCGCCTCCTGATAACCATCTCTAAAAGCAAGAACCTAGAAGGAACACTTTTTGGACTTGGAAAGCTGTCACCTTAACTCTTGACCAGGGATAAATAAGTCTAAAAATTGGCCCTGGACTTCAGTGCTTGAATTCACATACAGCTATAGTAAGGAACAAACCATCTTGTCAAAGTCTCACTTGTATTCCTGAAGATACAGTGCCCCTTCTTCACCAGTTAGGCTGTCATCTCTCACTCTAGAAAAAAACTCTAGAGCAGCCAAGTTTACGCTTCCTATGGATCTAGTTGGTGCTTGATTGTTTTAAGCCCTGGTTTTTACTAAACTTAGAATCTAGGCTCATTGCTCACCTACCTTTTCCACTTGGTTCAAAATCCTTGTCAGTTATTTAAACTCTCAACATTAAGGTTGAAATTGGAAGTCCTCTTGCTTGCTTCTCCTTTTAGAATATCCTCAATCTTTTTTGATAGTTATAATCTCAATAGGATTAAGTTACTTTATGTCATACATCCTACATCCAATTGGTTGGAGATAGGGTGTGGTATAGGGTGTATGTCATAAAGTAACCTAATTCTATTATGATAAATTGATAAATATGAAGGTATCAACTTAGTAGTGTGCAAATGAAGGGACTACACAACCAAACTATGACTAGTGATGTACATTGGTTTGAAAGGTCATGGCAGAACAAAAAGGAGGCAGGGACCCTGTAGATACCATGATCACATTAATCCCACTTTGTCGTGATATTTAGTCCTTTTTTAAATGTTGCTGGAATTTTATTTTATTTTATACTATGTTAAAGATTTTCATGTGTATGATCATGAGGGATATTGACCTCTTGTTTTCCCATGCTCTCTGTCTTCCTTTGGTAAAAGGGTAATACCAATCCCATAGGATTAGTCGGAAAGTGTTGCCTTGCCTCTGTTTTCTGAAAGAATTGGTGAGTATTGGTGTTATTTCTTCTTTGTATATTGGATGGAGTTTACTAGGTGAAGGCATCTAGCCTGGGCTGGTGTTGGGGGTGGTGCAGGAGTGTGCATTTTGAGTAATGTTTTCTTGTTATAGAGCTATTCATAATTTCCATTTTTTCTTTAGTTAGTTTTGGTAGTTTTTGGTTTTGTAGGAATTTGGCTATTTTATCTAAATTGTCTAATTTGTTGACGCAGTTGGCCGTAGTATTCTCATAATCCTTTCATTTCAGTAGGCTTGATAATGATGTCCCCCTTTCATTCCTGATTTTGGTATTCTGTGTCATCTCATTTTTTTCTTAGTCTATCGAAAGGTTTATCAGATTTGTTGATTTGTTTTCCCCCGAAGAACTTTTGGGTTCTTCTCTTTTCTCTTGTTTTTCTGTTTCCAATTTCATCGATTTTTCCCTCTTCCTTCTGCTTGCTTTATGTTTAATTAACTCTTTTTATTTATTTATTTATTTATTTTCGAGATGCAGACTTGCTCTGTCACCAGGCTGGAGTGCAGTGGCATGATCTGGGCTCATTGCAACCTCTGTCTCCTGGGTTCAAGCTATTCTGCTGCCTCAGCCTCCCGAGTAGCTGGGACTACAGGCGTGTGCCACCATGCCCAGCTAATTTTTGTATTTTTAGTAGAGACATGGTTTCACCATATTGGCAAGTCTCTTCTTGAACTCCTGACCTCAGTGATCTGCCCACCTCAGCCTCCCAAAGTACTGGGATTACAGGCGTGAGCCACCATGCCTGGCCCTTTATCTACTCTTAAAGTGAAAGTTTAGGTTATTGATATGAAACTGTTCTCTATTGGTGTAGATGTATAAAGCTTTGAATTTCTCTCAAAGCAGTGTTTAAGTTGCACCTCATATGTTTTGATATGTTGTATTGTTGTTTTCATTTAGTTCAAAATATATTCAAACTTCCCTTGCGATTTTTATTTTGACCCACAGATTATTTAGCAGTTTGTTACTTCATTTCTGCTATTTCTTTGTTCCCATGGATTCTAGTTGCCAGGTCTGTTGTCATTTCCTTTCATCTATAGTACTTCCTTTAGTATTCCAAGTAAGGCAAGTATTCCAGCAACAAATTCTCTCAGTCTTTGTTGATTTTGGAATATATTTCAAATTTATATTTGAAGGACAGTATGTGACATATTTAGAGTTCTTGGTTGACTTTTTTCCTCCAGCATTTTGAATATGTCATTCCCCTGCCTTATGTTACCACTATTCATGATGAAAGGACAACTGTTAATTCTGTTGTTCTTTATATATGATGAATTGTTTTTCTTATACTATTTTTAAGATTTTCTCTTTGGCTTTCAACAGTCTGAGCACGGTGTGTCTAGGTCTGAATTTGTGTTTATCCTACTTAGAGTCTGTTGAGTTTCTAGGATTTCTAGATTTATCCTTTTAATAAAATTTAGGCAGTTTTTTGGCCAGTATTTCTTCAATTATTTTTTTCAGCCCTTGTTTCCTCTTTCTGGGCCTTTCATATATATTAATATGCTTACCATTGTGTCACAGGTCTTTGAGGCACTGTGCATTCTTTAATCATTATTGTTTTTCATATTGGATAATTTTATTAATCTGTGTGCAAGTGTCCTGATCCTTCTGCCTTCTCAATTCTGCTGTTTATCTAGGAATTTTCATTTCAGCTATCGAACTTTCTGACTCTAGAATTTTCATTTGGCTCTTTTTAAATGGATGCATAATAGTTGTACATATTTTGGGGATACATATATTTTGATACATGCACGCAATGTGTAATGATTGACCAGGGCAACTGGGTCATCCATCACCCCAAACAGTCACCCCTTTTTTTTATCGGGAATCTGCCAATTCCTTTCCTCCAGCAATTTTGAGCTTTACAACAAATTATTGTTAGCTATAGTTACCCTATACTAGAGTGGTTGGTTAATGGATACAAAAATATCATTATATTTGGCTTTTTTTTTTTTTTTTTT